CCCCAAAACCCCAAAACCCCAAAACCCCAAAATATATTAATGTCTAAAAATTGGTGAATATTAAATTTATAAATTAAAGTAATTCATATATACAATTAAACAGCCAATTAAATATATCCTCAAAGCTATGATAACTACTTCAAAGAAATTATAATAATGAACAGTCAATGCTTTATTTTTTTTCATTTCCAGATTTAATTCTTGCTAAATTTCCCAGCATATCTTCATATTTATATAGCTATCCCTTTTCATCCAAAAATAACCATGTATCTTGATCCTTGTAATAACATTTATTTGGCATGTTCTGCTCGAATACCGGGCTTTTATATTATATACTAAGTCGGGTATCGAATTCTACAAATAAAGAATTTTCTTGTTATTATATAAATGTGATTTTCATCTCAATCAGCAAAGCTTCTCTTTCATTCTTAAATCTTTTATATTATGACCCTCCAAAGATAAAGACTTTATCAGGATAATCTTCCTCTTACATGAATACTATCGGCTTTAGTATATCATATGTGTTATCAATGTCAATCTATTGAAAATAAGCATTCTAACTCCTTAAATTTAGGAATTCAATTGTCAGAACATTTCCAAACATCACAAATAGATAATCTTTATGAATAAATGAATTATGCCTTGATCTTTTCTAGATTAACTTTGGGAAAGACACATCTTGTCGGATCTCTATTCTTTTATTTTATTTATTAATCTTGAGTATAAATTTCAAAGTTTCAATGGTAAGTTCTCTATCGGATTCACCACCTGTAATTATAAGTTGATTTCCATCAAATACTACCATTGAGCTATGCCAGTTAAATTTTCTATCTTTATCAAATTTAAAGCAGGTATACTCAGTGTCATCATCTCTATCAAATTCTTATATCACCTATACTTAAAATTGTAACTTGATAAGCTAATTTTACCTAGCATCCTTTTCTAAGTCCAAAAACTAAATGTCTTAATTCTAATTCATTCTTGTGATTCATTAGCTCTACATTTATAAAAGCAAAACCTTCTTAAACTTTAAATAAATCCTTGTAATTTTAAAACAGTTCTTCCTCTCTAAGATATTTAGGAGACTTAGGATCTAAATGAACCATTTAAAGTGTCTTTGGATTTTTAAAGTAAAACAAGCCCATTTTCATTTCTAGCTCAGTTAATGTTGGCTAGATTGATCCACTGAAATTTTAAGATTGCTTTTCAAGCTAAGAGTAATTATATTTCATAATGCTAGGTTTTGCACTAACTGCAGTCTTTCTGATACTTTTTTATTCTCTTTTTTTCTTATTCGATTTCTTCTATTTGACTAGATTTTGATTTGGACTGGTTATCTCATTGTAATATTTTACTATGCTTTGCTTTTTAGATTAATATAATTCTACTTATTCCATGCATAATGGTTTCCGAATAGTACTTAGTTCTGAGATGCTATCCTAAGAATTGCTAGTAAAACTATTACTTCTTTTTCTCTTCTAGCAATTAAGCTTTTGGATATTTAAGTGCTTACTTTTATTTAAATATCCGAATTCTTAGAGAAAGTTTTCATTAAATAGATTGATGCCAGAACTTGAGATATTCTGGTATGACTGATAGCTTTATTTAAGCTGCTGAGTTATAGATTTAGGAGTTTCTTGAACCTATGTCTTCCTATCCTTCTTAATATAAACTCGTCTATTTTGGGAACTCACGTTGTTAAGTTGAGAAATCGATTGAAAACTCTGCTGAATTTGGTTTTTCTTCTATTTTCCATTAATCTTGATATAATCTTCCTCATAGTTATTTGTTATCAACAGGTTATCATCATCACCAAATGATTCCATTCTTTCATCTCTATTTATATAAGGAGAACAATCTCTCACCATTTGTACAGATGATATGTCACAGTAGGTATCTTCTATATTACTATCTAATTTAATCTTCTATATCTCTATTGTCAAAGGCGTTGGCTTTAACTATTACTAACTTAAAATTTCAATCGGATCGATATGTAAATTCACTATCTATAATGCTTTCATGTTTAAATTTTCTTAGGCATATTATTGCTACGAGCAAAGATTTTGTTATATTTACTCCAAGCCACTATAAGATTAGAAAACCTAAATACTGCATTCATTGGCCTAGACAGATTATTAGTTATCTTAACCCAATTCAATCTGAATATTTTAATCTCTTAAGACCACAATTTATCTGTGTAAGTTATCATGAAAGGTCTCTGTATCTTTATACTTATTCATAAGCTCTCATTGAAAGTTTTCAGTATTTCTAATCTGGGAATTGAACTAGGTGATAATATCTCGTCTTTGCTATCATGTAAATTTTTCTCGCAAGTTTCTTTAGTTAAGCTATGTAAGTTTCATAGCATCATCATGAACCTAATTTATCAGCTAAGAATTGTGAACGTTGAGTTATTTCTTCTCTAATTAAAAGTCTGAACATTAACTTTCATGATTAGGAACTTCATAGATAGTTAGTCTTTCCTGGCAAGTCTCACAAATGAAGTATTTAAATTCTTAAAGAATTGGTGTACTCATTTTATTGATTTTATAATATTATATGCCCCAAATAAGTTAAATTTAAATCAATGTATGCTAATTTGATATTTGACGCTTTAATTTATTAATATGTTTTTTCACTTAGCAAAAGTTATAGACTCTTTATGGGGTTTTGGGGTTTTGGGG